TCTTCGGTCACGTACTGCCAAACCTTCTGCCAATCGTCGACCTTGGTCTTGCGAAGGGACGGGGCGACCACGATGAGGGACAGGATGCTGAAATGGCACAGGGCAGCGTCCAAGGACTTGCGAGCGTCGCCCACTTCCTGCAGGAGCGGCGGGCTGGCGCCGTCGGCCATGGAGCTGATGACTTTGGCGCGGGCCTCCTGGCGGAGAAAAGCAAAGGACAGATGCGCGGGCCCTCTCTGACCCTCCGGGCACGCCTCAAACCGTGTTAGCCGGCCCCCCAGGGGCCCGCGGGGCCACGCTCGGGCTCCGGCCCAGGGAGGGCGGGACAGGAGGAGGATGAAGGGGAGCAGGAGGAGGGCGCGGGGGGAGGGGTGGAGGGGGCGGGCGAAGAGGAAAATGCGGGGATGGAGGGAGAGGGGCAGACAGGCGGAGGGAGGAGGGAGCAGGGGGTCGGAGGAGGAGGTAGGAAGGAAGAGGAGGAGGATGAGGAAGAGGAGGAGGAGGAAGAGGAGGAGGAGGCGGCCTTCAGCAACTGCACGTGCTTCGAAAGCTTGACGGAGTTCGTGGTCGCCTTCACCGCGCGGCTCTGGGCCATCATCTTGACGTACTTATCGCGGTCGCTCAAGGCTGGGAGCAGCGCCAACTCCTTCTTGGACGCCTCTATGGTCGCTCTGACCCTCTTGTTGATGCTGGTGTCCGACGCCTCCTTGGCCTTCTCAGCCAACGTCTTGCTCATGTCAGCGATCTCGTCAATGAGGCCGTCCACGTAGTCCAACGTGAAGCCTGCCCTGACAAAGAGCTGGGTCTCGATCCAGGTCCCCTTCCACTTGAGCAAGCTGTCGGACTCGTTGCTGCGCACCGCTTCCTTCGGGGCAAAGGAGACGGCAAGGCGAGAAACTCTGGAAACAAAAAAAGTAATTGGCGAGAGGAGGCCAAGACGAGCAGGAGGAGCCCGGGTCCTTGGTCGAGATCTTCTCGCCGCTGGACAGCGCCACGACGCTGGCCAAGTCCAACAACAGGGTGACGTTCGCGTGCGAATATCCATCCAAGGGCATGTACATGGCATCCACCTCCTCATTGACTTCGAGGTCGTTCTCCTCCAAGACCTCCTTGTCGGGGAGGGCGTAGGTGCCCGTCAGATTGGCAAACTCGGTCTTCAAGGAGGAGAGCTGCTTGAAATCCTCAAGGGTGCACTTCGCATTCTCGAAGGCCGTCTTCGCCAGCGTCAGGAACTTCGAGAGGTCGTTCTTCAGCGCTTTGGGGCAGGTCACGCGCACGAACTCCGTCAAACTCGCCAACATCGTGTCGAACGAATCCTCGGTGAGGGAGTAGATCTTGGCGCCCTTCCTGAACTGCGCAGCGTCAAGCCCCATGCAATCAGCCACGGTGACGTCGTCTGCCCTCGCCCTGGGACCATTCACGTGCCAGTGTGCAATGCGGAAGGCCTCCTGATGGTCGACCATGTCCTTCAAGAAAGCGAAGAGCTTAAAAATCTTCTTGTCGCAAGCGCCTCAGGTGCGAAGGCGCCCCGGCGAGCGAGCGGCCTGCCCCGACGTTTCGATCGATCGGGATATGGGTAAGGACAGATCGCGATGATCTGGTCCTGATCTCGATTGTCATGGATTCGATCTCGACCCTACGATCGGCGATCGGCGATCGGCGAACGGTCAATGCAACAAGAAAGAAAGATCGTTGAGATCGGCACTGAATGGGAAGTCCATGTCGAGTGCATCCTTGACCGTCGGGAATTTATCGGGGGCTGTCTTCACCTCGTCGCACATGGAAAGCATGCATGTCTTCACGGTGGTCATGGCCAGCGCATCGATGTCTGTCTCAACCTTGTGAATCTTGGACTGGGTCTCGGCGCACTTGGCGCACTTCTGCTTCTTCTTCACCTCCGCCAGCTCCTCTTTGAACTCGACCGCGTAGTTGAACATCTCGGTGAAGTCGTTCGCAGCGCTGCCCCACGCAGGGACCGTGCACTGCAACAACCTCTCCGTCATATCATTCACGGCCTTCAGCGCCATGGACAATCCAGCTTTACTCGCTAGAGCATCCTTCGCGACATCGCACAACAAGTCCCACTTGTCCGACCACCTGATCTCCAAGAGTAGCGGCTTGTCGTCATCCTCGGTGATCTCTGAGATCGAGTCGATCGCCTTCTGCACTAGCTCCTCATCGTGGCCCTTGGGGTTCAAGAGGGGGATAAGCAAATCAAACTGGTCATTGACAACGTCGCTGCACACCAGCGGGGCGTCGCGGAGGATCTTGCAGAACGACTTGAGATGTTTGAAAGAAGTACCGTCGCTGGAGCGGCTTTGACAGGCGGGCAAGGCGGGCAAAGCAGGGGCACGGGGCACCAGGGGGCCGAAGTGGGGAAGGCGAAGTCCGAGATCAAGCGAGCGGGGCCCAGCGGGGCCGGCGACGACGACGAAAGACCTGGGAGCCACCCCACCTGGGAGCCACCCCACTTGGGAGCCACCCTGCCTGGGAGCCACCACCTGGGAGCCACCCCACCTGGGAGCCACCTGAAGAGCGAGCCGCTCTCGGAGCCACCCCACCTGCGATCAGGCGGCCAGGCGCCAGCCACAAAAAAATGGGTCCTCGAAATGTCGGTGGAGGTCACCGTCTTCAGGAGCTTGCTGATGTTCTCTTCCACGATGATGGCAGCGGTGTCCACCAGCTTCTCCTCTGGCATGAGGGACACGTCCGAGTGCATCAGCTTCATGCGCTCGCTGCCCTGGCTCAGCATCTCAGCGAAGGCCTCGCACTGGTTGAACTGGAAGCTCTTGTCCAAGCGGTGCCTGAGAACCTTGAGCCTGTAGGGGAAGCTCACTTTCTGTTCAACCGCCAGCGTCGCAATGCAGGCGTCAATGGCGTCGAGGTTGGCGCCCTTCATGTTGGCGGTCATCGCCGCGATGAGCTCCTTGGCCGACGTGCTAGTGTCCATGATGACGTCCAGGTCGCTCAGGGCATCTGCCATGTCCAAGCCCGACCCAGTCGCGAGCTTGCCAAGGCGCGCCTTCAAGGCGCTGACCGACTTCTCAATCTTCAGTGCATCGGCCTTCTTCTTGACCAAGATCGCCTTGAAAGCCTTCTGCTCCTCCTTGTTGCTCAAGTCGTGCGTCTCGCCGAACGTGAGGGTAGACAAGCTTTCTGTGGCCAAGCTGGACACCTCGGCAATCAAACTCTCGACCGCCGCGGCGCCTGTAGCAGTCGCGTTCACCATGGAAGTCGGCGGCCTTCCCCTGCCCCTCTTCGCTGGCTGCGCCTCGTCGACTGGAGCCGCAACCGTCCTCTTGGTGGCGGGGGAGCGCCCGGCCACCGACGAAGCCTTCCCGCCCTTCTTGGAACCGCCCGCCTCTGACGCCGGGGGCTCGGGCTTCGACGAAGCAGGGCGAGCAGCGGCGGCGGTCTTCAGCGCGGCCGCCGAGCCAGACGCCTGCAGCGCTGCGAATGGATTACCGCTGGAGGCGCGGAGGTTCTCGTCGTCGGACGCGTCGCTCTCTTGCTGCTGCTCGCTGTCGCTCCCCTTGGAGGCCTCGCTGGTGTCGTCGCTATCCCCGTTGTCGCCCTCGCCACCCTGGAGAACGCGTTTCGGGCCATCGCTGCCGCTGGAAGTCAAGCTGCAAGCCTGGAGGATGCCCAGCAAAGGGTGGTCCATCGCCGGCTGCTTGGCGAGCTTCTTGTCCTGCTTGTCGTGTTTCTCCTTCGTTGCCTTGAGCGCCAACTGGAACTTCTGTTCTACATGGGTGTCCGACAGAGCCTGTTCACCATCGTCCACGAGCGTCCTCTGCTCCGTCTGCTTGTCGATGTAGTCCTCGACGTGGTGGTAGCCCTTCTTCTCTCCAGGCGCGAGAAGATACACGCCCCGAGTCACGACCCCGTCGATGATTTCCTCGTCGATCTCGTCATCGGCGGGGGCCCGCTCGAAGTCCTCGATGTATTGGGCGAGCTCCACGAACATCCTTTTCGGCTTGGTCAACCTTGGGCAGGGCAAGATAAGATGAAGTGCAGCGGTGCCCAGACTCCTTCCCCCTGGGCGTTTCGTGCGACCCGCAGTGGCCCCGCCAGGGCCGATGGGGCAAAACTCCTGACCAAGGACCCCCACCCCCCTGGAGAACAACAAAGACAAACACCATCCCATGGGCAACCTGTGGCCGCTTTTCGTCTTCGTCAACAACTGCTTGAACGCCCTCAACGCGGCCTCGGTCCTGAGCTTGACCGTGCTCGGGTCGGCGTTGTGCTGGTCTATCCAGTTCTGCCTGGCCGTCATGAAAACCGCGTGCCGCGCCTTAGTGGGGTTGCCAAAGATGTGCTCTAAGTAGGCCTGGATGCTATCGAACTCGAGGTCGATGCCCATGACCTTCGAAACGTTAAAACAGACGAGCCACACATTCCCGTCCGGGTCCTGCACGGCGTGCAAGCCCTTCTCCTCGCAGACATGCTGCCTGGGCTTGGTGGTCTTCCACGGAAGGCAGCCGAAGAACTTGTCGGTCGGTTGCGCCTGCGATGGCGCCAGGTTCAATGAGGACGATAAGATGGGCAGGATGGGAGGGGGAGGCGAACGAGGCGCGTGGGGGGGGGGGGAAGCAACGAGAAGAGGAGGGGGGGAGGGGGGCGAAGGGGCGGAGGCGAAACGGAGAGAACGGTATAATGAGAAGGAAAGAAGGAACAGAGGAGAAGAGGACGCCGACGACAGGGCGCGAGAGGAAGGGCAACCCAAGAGAGACATAGGCAGGCGGGAAATAGGGCGGAAGGAGGAGGTGGAGGAGAAGTCAGTGAACATTATCCCCCAGCGGCGCCGTGCACAGGGGAGAAGGCAGTCCGACTTGCAGTCGCAGAGAACGCATGAGCGGATCTTCCGAGCGAAGTGATCGAAAACCAAGTTCCTGGGGGTCCTGCTCTTGGCCTTTTTTCTTCGCCTTCTGCTCTGCTATCTGCTGCTCGGCGCTCTTGCGTCTCTCAGTGCCCCCGCTCTTGGGCGCCACTTTGCCCATGGCGGCGAGACGTCGGCGGGCTCGCGGGGGGAGGGGGCCAGGACAAGCCCACCGAGGGGCGTCGGGCCGGAAGGCCCGTGAAACTTGGGCCAAGCACGGCAGACGAACGCACGCGTCCTGGGCATCCTGGATATACTTTGATGGCGCCCATGGAACCTTGGGGGGGGGCTCTGGATGCATCCTGGATCCTGATGGCACCGATGAACCCATGGCCCAATCGGGCCCGGTAAAACCCGTGACCCACATACCCTGGTGTAGCTGATGCACATGTTTTTCAAACCGCCTTTGCACCCATTGCGATCACGGAGCGTGCAAACTATATTCTGGCGCTGCTTCAAAGCGGCGGAGGCCGAGACTGTGAATTCAATCGATCACTATTACTTCTGGAAGCGGAACACCTGCGCCAGACCCCTTTGGGGTCGAACGCTCAGCCCTTGAGATCTCACCCAGGGCCCAAGGGCCAAGAAGAAATGCAGCGGCTGGCTTGCATGACGCGCGAAGGATGGGAAGCCAACGCCCAGGTCCACATTGGCACTTTCTGGTGCGAGATCGCTTCATGGGGAGAGCGCTGAGAACGTCAAACTGGGGGTCGAACAGGCTGGGCACCGCAAACAAGTCCGCCTTCTCGCCCGACTCAGCAACGCGCCTGCACTTAATCGGCGACTCGACGTCGCCGTCCGAGCCAATCTGGGACATTGCCTCAACCAGGCGATACTCTGTCAGAGCTTGCTCCAGCGTGGGATGGACCGATCTACTGTATCTACTGCTTCTCGAGTTCATTGCAGCGACGCCCGAACTGCATCGAAACCGAGTGGCTACGGATGAGGGTGGAGCCATGCACCACTTTCGAACGCTGGGCGCCCAGACCCCCTCGAACCCTGGGCGACCCGACCCTTGGTGCCCAGGCCCCTCGGAACCCTTGGCGGGCGCCCAGACCGCTGTCGAACCCTCGGAGGGGGGACGCAAGCACGGCGGCCACGCCCAGCTCCTGCGCGGAAGCCCCCACTCCCCCAAGGCGCCGAAGCGCAGGCGCTCCAGGTCCTTAGAACCCCCTCGGGCAATTCACGAAAACACTCCAGGCCCTCAGAACTTTCCCCCTGGCACCCCCTCAAAGGCTCCTGAGGCTCTCCAGGTCCTTCGAACTCCCCCTGGCCCCTCTTCGGAGGCGCCGAGGGCCCTCGAAACTTTCCCTGGCCCCTCGGCGGAAGCACTGGGGGCCCTTAAAACTTTCTCTGGCCCATCTGCGGCGGCACTGGGGGTCCTTAAAACTTTCTCCGGCCCATCTGCGGCGGCCCTGGGAGTCCTTAAAATTTTCCCTGGCCCCTCTGAAGAGGCACTGAGGGCGCTTGAAACTTTCCCTGGGGGGCCCGACGAAACTCGGAGCCCTTGGAACTCCCCGGCGGACCATGCCTCGCCAACCGCTCGGGCGGGCGGGGGGGGGGGGGGTACTTAGGGCACGCGGGCGCGCGGGTCCGTGACGCCCATGAGGGGGTAAATATAAATTTTATTTTATTTTAATTATTTATTTCCAATTTATTTTTATGTATTTCCAATTTATTTTATTTAAAAAAAATCTATTTTTGCATTTTCCGAATTTCCGAAAATCCCGGTCAAGGCCCCAAATTGCCGGTTAAGGCCCCGAAACTACCGGTTAAGGCCCCCCCGGGCCCGGTTAAGGTATTTCGGGGAAATTCAAAAATACAGAAAATAACAAAAATAAAAAATAATAAAAATAAAAAAATAAAAATAAAATGAAAATAAAATGAAAATAAAATGAATAATATTGAAATTAATCATATCAGAATTCCATCCTAAAATACACTGGCCACGCCCTGGTGCCACCCCTGACCCAAACCCTTGAGCCGTGCGTGAGGGCTCCTCCACGGACCCCGCAGAAGGTACCAAGGGAGGGCAGGCGACCTCTGTCCAGGACCCCCTGGCACCTCGCCACCGCCTCCTGCAGTCCCCCAAGGGGCGTTTGCAACCCGCGGAACCTCGGGCCCCCTCAACGACGCTAGAGACGACGACAACGACGACGACGACGACAACGACGACGAGACGACGCCGACGCCGACGCCGACGCCGACGACGACGACGACGACGACAACGTCGATGACGACGGGGACGACGACGACGCCGACGACGACGGCGGCGTCGGCCACGACGACGACGACGACGACGAGACGGTCACGACGACAGAGACTGTTTTGCCTGAGCGCTGCGCCCGCGACCTCCCAAGGTCGCTGACGCCGAGGGCGGACGCCTCAGCCAGCTGCAGCTGGGGCCGCCCTGTGCTTCGCGACGATGTCGGCCCATCTCTCCTGGCGGGGCGCGAGGCGGAGGAGTGGGCCAGCGCATGAGGGGAGATGGGATGCCTCTCTCGCTCAACCTCCTCCTGCTCCGCCATCCTCCCTCCGTCTTCTCCTCTGCCTCCTCCTCCTCCGCTCTCCGCCTCCTCCTCCTCCTCCTCCTCCTCCTCCTCCTCTCCTCCTCCTCCTCCTCCTCCTCTTCCTCCTCCGTCATCTTCTCTCCGCATCCTCCTCCGCCCTCCATCCTACCTGCGCTCGCCTCCGCCTTCTCCCCCACGACGTCCTCGCCCTCCTCCCTCTCCAACTCCCCGTCCCCCAAGACACTGTTATAACGTGCGGCCGTCCTTGTGGGCAATCGTGTTCTGCTCCCGCGTGCGCTCGGCGTCGACGTGATCCTTCCCGACGCTGACCCACTCGATGGCGAACTCCTGGTTCGGCATGTTGCACACGTTGATCCACTTGGCGCACCTCTTGTGCGCGGCGTTCGTGCACTGAACCTGGGCAACGGCATGCATGCAGCGCCCCTTCTCCTCCCACCTTCTCTCCTCTCTGCTGCGATTGACCTCGAATCCCTCCCCCCCTCCTTCGAGTGGCCTCACATCCCTCCCCCCTCTTTCGAGTGACCTCCTCCTCCTCCTCCTCCTCCTCCTCCTCCTCCTCCTCCTCCTCCTCCTCCTCACCCTCCTCCTCCACCCTCAGGGCCCTGTCACTTGAGGCCCAAGTGCACCTGGCACGAATATGGGACGCCGTCCCTGTACTGATACGCAAGCTTGCCAATCGGCACAAACCTAGCGCGCTCCTCGTTGAACCTGAAGATGTCATAGTTGCGGCCGCTCTGCTTGCCTGCCACACCTGGAAGACCATGGTGCAAGGCGAAGCCGCCCCTGGCCGCGATGTCCTCGAGCGACTCGCCCACGTCGCGGGCGCCCTGCCACTCGGCCCTGTCGTCGGAAGCCATCGAGTCATCGTCGTTGTCCTCAACGCCGTCCAACTCCCAGGCCCCAGGCTCGACGTCGTCGTCGCGCGCCAGCCCAGGGTCGAGCAAGTCCTCGCCGCGGCCTCGCGGCGGCGAGGGGGGAGCAGCGCGGCTGGACTGGCCGAGCATGATCGGGCGTAGTCAGCAGGACAGCACAGACTGTGCAGCGGGTGATTCAGGGGCGCAAACGCATCGTGAGTCAATGGCCGCGGGCCTATGGGTGATCCATGATATGCGGTATGACATGGGCCATGCTATCGGCCGACACGCAGACGCACCGTGACGCACAACTAAGAGGGGGTGGAACGCACGAGAGTCGGTAAGGGTCGAGGGGGAGCGGAGGGCGTGATAGTAGATGATGACCTTTGCGAGCAGTGCCGCTGAGAGGGAGGGAGGCGCCTCGACCGCGTCCTCGACCGCGCCGCCCAGCGCGGCCTCGACCGCGCCCGCGGCCAGCGGCACGCCCGGCCGCCCTGCCAGCGCCGCGGCCCGCGTCGCCTCCGGGCGGCGGAGGCGGCGCGGGACATAGAAAGGAATGGCGACGGCGACAAGGGGTGCGGGTAGGACCTGGGGAGAGCGGAGTAGGAACGTAGCGTCTAGTAATGTCAAGGTGGCGACGTGCAGTGGCATGTGGATCTCTAGAGGAGAACGAGCAGCGGGATAAGGATGAGGGAGCGGATGAGAGGGGGGGAAGGGTGGAAGACGAGGGGGTTGCCACGGGGATCGGGGCGAGGGCCATGGGCCATGGAAGGAAGGGGGTGGCCCGAGTTCGAAAGCGAAAGCGCAGACGACGCCCCGCCCCGCCCCAACCCCTCCCCTCCGAAAAAGAAACAACGAAAGAGAAACAAACAGACGTCTCTAACCGAAACCCAAGCAAAACTGACAAGGGAGACCAAGCAAGGCCCATGACCCCATGGTAGCCCGAACCCTGCGCCCAGGAAACCACTGCAAAATAGATTGGGGCCCTGCGTGACCCCTCGTGGACACCGAGGGGGCGGATGAGATGCGCGGGGGAGGAGGGGAGGGGGGTCGTCTGCGCGTTCGCCTTCGCACTTCCCCATGCATCCCCCGTCGACCCCCCCCCTCCCTCCCCATTATATCTTTCTGTTTGATTGGTTCCCTCCCCCCATTGGGTGCCCTCTGCCTCCTGCTCTCCACTTCGCCATCCTCTGCCTCCTCCTCTACTTCCCTCCTCCTCCTCCTCCTCCTCCGCCTCCTCCTCCTCGCTCCGCGATGGCCTCCAGCCCAAGCGTCTGGCCGACCAGGCTTCATGGGCTTCGCCATCAAGTCGAAGGCCTTCATGGCCTTGGCTACGGCAACCTCCTGGCGCATCTGCTCGAGCTCCGCGTCGATGTCCACGGCCTCGACGCCTGAGACGCGGTAATTCCTAAGTGTAATGGCCTCATACTTGAGGGCGTAAAGCTCGACGGCCTCGGGGTTCTGGAAGTCCGAGAGCACGCCTTGGACGAAGCCTGTCTCTGTGCTGATGGCGACCGCTGGGAAACCACCAATCACGCCATACGAAAGAGCGACGTCGAACGGGGGGGTCAGATCATTCTCGGGCCCGATGCACCTGGCGACCTCCGCAATGAAGGGGGACTTCCGAAACGACATCACCATCCCAAAGATGTTGCGCCCATCCATCGGGTCGCGAAAGCAAACAATAGGAAGCAACCCCCATGCAGCGTTCCTGGTATTCCTCGCATTGGTCACCT